ATTTCTGGGTATTATAAAGCTAATGTCTTCAACAACCATTAAGAATAGTCCAAATTATGTAAATAGTGTACATAATACCTCATCTCAGAAATATAGACAGATACTGAAGGGCCGAAACGTTGTAATAAATATGGCAACGAAGATTAGGACGTTTTTTGATACATTCCTTACTAAATAACAAAAACCACGTCATTAAGGATTACAAACAGCCGCAACACCTAAAATGGATAGCACAACTCAAATAGAAATTAATGTCATAATCAAGATGTTAAAATTCCACATTAAATAGACGGTTGAGAAGGAACCCCCCCTATCTATAATCGGAAGAGCCATAATAGCTACTGGACTTGAGAAACCTGTTATCCTAAAACAATCGTTGTGTGAGAATGATTTTATAAATTTCAACTGAAAGCAGTACTGGCTGCTCGGTCAATGAATGCCAAACGTTTCATTATAAGGAAGCGGCTATTATTACCATTATCATTTTTTTTATCTTTGTGAACGAATATTTAAGAAGTCTTATTAATTATTACGCTGTCTGTTGAAGCTAAAGGTTAGAATATATATTGCCAGAGCATTTTCAAAAGTGATGTTGAAAAAAGGTTAAGAATGGAAATATTGCGAAACTTTTGAGTCTACGGCTTTGACTCCTCAACCCTGGTTTGGCGGTTTTTCATGTCAAAAATGATGCACAAAAAAGCTTTATGGGAATTTACTTAGTAAAAATAACAATGGCGTCGTCAATATCAAATCAGATTACTTAATTCAGCTCGTTTATTAAATGTAACCGCGTTTCCTTACTACGTTACAGGTTCAGCAAAATAAGATTGGAAGATTGTATTAGCACCAAACTTCCAACGGACTTTGGTCTATCTACCTTGATAATTATCTAATATATTATGTTTTCCGATATAAGAAAGGCCACTCACGTGCTGCTTTTATTAAGTTTCGATTTTTCCTCAAAAAATATTTAAACATTTATTCGGAAGCAAATCCGTCATGTCTTTTCCTTCAGTGACGCCAGCCGGAACTTAAAACAGGGACAAAAGATGTTGCTGTAGATTTTGAATAAATCAGATGATTTCTCTTTTTTTTTTATACTGATCGACAAACCATTCTGATCTTAGGTTAAAAAGCATAATGACCTCCTCTAAGCATTGTAGTCGAGAACTTGTTCTAAACACAAGCTTTATGATTTACAACTTTTTCGTTTCTTTTGAAGACGTAAAAAATGATTTTTTTTATCCTCTGATTTATACCAAGAATTCTCTATTTTATTTGAAACATAACAAAACGTTTAAAAAGTTTATAACCAAGGATCATTTAAACCTTTTTGTTTTCTGTGACTCGCCTCCTGTTTGAAATTATAAATAATTCAATCCTGCGCCATAGGTCGGCATTTGAGTCAAGATTTCGTGTGCTGATTTTTAATCTCTATTTGAAAATTTAACCTATTAAAATCTTCCAATGCCTCTTTTTACATATTGCTTAGTGTATTTTAGATATTTACTCATGATGTAATGGTTAGTAAGCTTGTCTCGCTAAAACAGTTACGACTGGAGAGTGATTTCGATCTTCACTGGGTACCCCATACTTTCGGCCTATATGTTATACGATTGTTCCGGGCAGCCCAGAACAGAGGGAGGGCCAGGTCGTTCAACTGGCACTGACTTACGATTTGGAACGGACATATTCCATCTAGTAGAGGCAAAGGACGATGTTTTCGTTAAAGAATAATATACACAGAGTATTCAGTACAAAATATTAATATTATTCTGACTGTTCCTTAAATAGAACGCGCACACATTAAGCTCGGCCAATACCTCATAAATAATGGACTATTCCGTTTTGATCGCGTGGAAATACAGAAAAGACATATCAGAGACGTTGTTTCGTTTCCCTGAAAGGAAGAAAGAAACAAACAAATTCTCATGTATTTAACGCTTGTTTCGATGAAACGAAAAAACCATTTAATTTTAAATCTTTTCACTTGTATCCTTTTACTTCTTTAAATAAAAACCTGCATTTATACTTATTACTGTTATTACTTATTACTGTTATTATTACTGTTATTACTTATTACTATTATTATTACTGTTATTACTTATTACTGTTATTACTTATTACTGTTATTGTTATATATTTTTTTTACAGATGTTACGCTCAAATATTTAAAGATACAAAAAGGGAATTTCTGTGGGTATTTTATATTCATGGAATTCGCAAGCAGCTTATTCGGTCATAACTTAACAATTATGATTCATCAGAAAATTCAAATCGGAAATTCTCACATGTATTTCTAGTTATAATAATAATAGTAATAATGACAGTAGTTGTAATAATAATAATATCGCCTATAATGATAATAATCATTTATCAGCGAGGAAAGGAATTGTACCTCCATAAAGAAGAAATGGCGAGAAGTTGATAAAGTTTTAATGTCTGCTTCGGGAAAATAGAATACCTTGTCAGTTTTAAATCTTTTCATATTTATCTTCTTACTTCTTCAAATAATAAGTATTCATATGTATGGTTATTACTGAAATATTTCGTTAAAATTATTCGATCTAAATATTTAACGATGAGGTAGAGGAATTTCCACGTGCATTTTATAGTCGTAGAATTCGTAAGGAGTTTATTCAATCAATAAATTAATATTTAGTTTGGTTTGTGTTACGGCATGTCAACCTCAATGGGTTATTTAATACCGACCAAATTTTTATTGCTGGTAATTTTTTTTTTCAAACATGTATTGCTAGTAATATTTGTCTTTCAAAAATTCTATTTCTGATAATAATTTTTTTTCAAAAAAGTATTGCTGGTAAAAGATTTTTGCCTAAAATGTATTGGTGATAATAATGTATTGCTCATAATAATTTTTTACAAAGTATTTCTGGTATTAAAACCTATTTTTACACTTTCATAGTGTTTTGACCCGAGTTTGGGGGTTAAATATTTACCCATAGTTTGGACCCTAGCAGGTGCTATCACCTCGGGTCAGAGTGGACCTGGGAACACCAGCAATTAAGAGGTGGTTCCACGTTCCTCAAAACCTCCTGATCAGAGGCCCTTGCTGTTGGATGTAGTTTATCGTCTTACCCAGGACGCGGATGTAGTTTATAGTCATACCCAGGACGGCTTAAGATTTAAGATTCATCAGAAAATGAAAAAAAACTGTAAATATATATAAAATATCGTTGAGCAAAAAATATAGATGAATAAATACAGGTATCTGATTCAGTTATCTTCAATAATTTCTCTATATTCTATTAAAAATCGAGAGTATATTTATATTTTATCCGAAACTAGCAGTAGAGCCCGGCGTTGCCCGGAGATGTAACAGTAAGAGATACATCAAGTATCAACCATCATAAAGACTGAAAAATAAAATTGACAAAGATTATTGTTTAAGTTTGATGGACACGCATGTCTTAATTAGTTTTTTTTTGTTTTTTTTTTACGAATTGGTCAAACCCAAACTGAAACAAAAACATTGTTTTTAATCATTATGAGTCTATCGATTGAATAGAATTTTATTATAAACAATTGTCTTGTAAATGGAATTTTTAAAGCATTCTGAATGTAAAAATAAAGAAAAAAATGTGCAAGACAATAAGAAATATTACCTGCAAAAAAAAAGTGAAGTTTTGTTGAAATCGGTTGAAAAATGTAGGAAATCTGATCCCATATATAAACGAACACACACAAACAACCTGGGTTTTTATAAGTATAACTTGATATGAGTTGTCCCCCTTTCATACTGGCGACAGAATCATGTTTTATCGGGTTTTCAAATTGATTTCATGCAAAAACAATTGTGTTTTTCCGATTTTTGGTGCTGTCAGAACCACTGCAAGGTAATTTTACACAGTCCTGTGAAGTTTTGTTGAAATTGGTTGAAAAATGTAGGAAATCCGATCCAATATATAAACGTACAGACACACACACACACAATCTGCGTTCTATAATAAGTAAGATGGGGGCCTACATTTGCCATCTGCTCTCGTTTATCAGCTTTAAACAGGTTTGGTCATGATTTATTTTGCTTCAATCATTGAGAAAATGACCAATTATTTCCTTGATTTCGTTGACCCATTTGAAAAATGCGTTTCGGTGTCATAACATGGATCAGCTTTATCTCGTCTTCGGGTTCTATATTGAACCAGCCCAGTGGTAGATTGACCACCATGGTGAAGAAGATATATTGCCTTGTCTTGTTTTCAGACACTGTCTTAAACAAATCCCGTGTTATCTTTACAGCCATGGTAAACCTGATGAATTGATTTATCTGTTCTTCGGATGTTATATTAAACTAAACCTGTTTTATGTTTACCCCCATAGTAAACCAGGCGAATCGCCTAATCTGGTCTTCGAAAATTATATTAACCAAACCATGTGTTATATTTGCTCCTATAGTAAACCAAGTCAATAGCCTTATCTGGTCTTCGAAAATTATATAAACTAACACTGTTATCATTATTCTCATGATAAACTAGATGAATTGCTTTATCTGGTCTTCGAGAATGATATTAACCAAACTATGTTATATTTGCTCCTATCGTAAACCAGGGGAATTGCCTTATCTGCTCTTGAAACATTATATTAAACTAACCCTGTATAATTTTTATCCCCACAGTGAAGCAGATAAATTTTCTTTCGCGTTTTGTCATTTGTTAAGACATGGTACAAGATTAATGTCTGGTCCTTGGAACTACCAACTTCGGATTGATTGATTGTTTTTTTTACGACTTATCAACCCTTTTCATTTTATTTAAAACCAGCAAATATTTTTAAATTCTAAGAATTTTTTGAAGATGAAAATGATTTACTGATACAAGTCCTGCTAATTATCCCATAGCTGGGGGTGGGGGGGGAAGAGATGGATTTTCCCAGGGGTCTTTGCGCGTGAGAGAATATAATGAACCCGACTGGAATTGGAACTCGGCTCTCCGATTTCCAATCTCGAGCCGTTAGCCATTGCATCACACGCACAACCAAGCTACAGTACCTACTATTCCCAAGTGGTCACCCATCTAGGTACTAAAATGTTCGACGTTGCTTAACTTCGATGATCGTACGAGAATCTCTGTTTCAGCGAGATATGGCCGTAAGCCACCAATTCCTGAACAGTACTTACCTATTACGCTGAAGTGGGTGGATCATAGTTTGCCCTTTCGTCAAAAGGAAAATCTCTTTATTGTATATGGGATTCGACATTAAACAAACACTGTTTTATATTTGCCTTCATGATGAAGTAGATAAATAAAGGCCTTGTCTGTCTTTCGGTCGTTCTTTCATGTTCCGTAACCTTTCAGGGCGTAGAAGATCATGGCTTTCCACATCTCCTTATCCTTTGTAGCTCTAAACAATGTTTGTCTCTTTTCTATCCCTCCAAGGATGATGTGGTGTAATGAATAGCGACTGGGAAATAGAAATTGGAAATTTTGAGTTCGAATTCTAGACAAGTTTGTTACATTCCATTACAAGCAAATACCATTTTGAAAAGTATGAATCGATATCTTACCCCAGCTAATCATTCTAACCTATTTGATGGTCTAGTTAGAAATCCCGTTTCGAAAGAAAAATCAGAAAAAAGGGGGAAAATTGAATGTCTTTGGCTAGATGCGAAAGTGTCTCGTCAGTATTCTCATGATTTAGTGGCCGACTATTCTTGCTTGATAAATTTTCTGAACTTGGAATTGTTTTCGCTGTTTCTTTCTCCTGTTCTTAATTTTTATTGAAAGCATGTCTCCCAAGCCCACTATTTGGTGAGGGCGGTGGATTTGCCGTTGATCCCCCCACCACCAGGTCGATGCTTGGACTTAAGGTAAGCTGTACATATATATATATATATATATATATATATATATATATATATATATATATATATATATATGTGTGTGTGTGTCATTGTTATTCTCAAAAAATATTCAAGCCATATTCATTCGAAAAAAACAATCCAAAATAATTTTGGGCTTTTTTTTTATTAATTCGTTCTTTTACAGTTTATCAATCCACTTGCAGGTTATATAAAGCCAGAAAATGCATTAAGATTGCAAAAATTTGGGGGCGATAGCAATAATTTAGAGATAAAAGTCTTACTAATTAACACATAGCTGGGGAGATAATTGGTGGATTCGTGCCTTTTCCAAGAGTATTTGCGTGTAGATGAATATAACGGACTCATCTTGAATTGCAACTCGGTTATTTGATGAATAATTCCTAGGCATTATCCGTTTACACCATCGTACATCCAAGCTTACAGCAACTGGTATTTTCAAACGCTCACCCACCTCGCTGCTGGCCCAGCTCGATGTTGCTTACCTGCGATAATGGTAAATGAAACGGTGTTTCAATGTGATGTGCCTGTAAGTAGTTTCGGTTTTAAATAACCCAGAAAGTGTTGAGAAGCCGTAAAAAATGCTGTCAGTAACATTTATCCAAGACCCTGTTCTGCTAACTATTTACATTTTCCCTCTGTCCATCTTGCCTTTGGTATGTCCTGTTATTGTAATATTTTCCAAGCCCTCTTTCTATATTATGATTCCCATAATTTTCTACTCGTTCCGAAAATAACGAAGAGTCGTTTTGTTCTCAATTTCCTTAAACCTTTCTCGTTGTTCAAATGTCCTGTCCATAGTATTCTCAGAATCCTTCTGTAGAACCATATCTTTGCCTCAGTTCTCCTCTTTATCCGTGAGGAAATTGTCCAGAATTCACTACAATATAGGAAGATTGATATCACATTTCAGTTTAGCGCTTTTTCTTTGTTTCTAACAAATTTGATTCCAAGTGTAAGTGCGCTTTTTGTTAACTATCTGTCTTAAAATGTACTCGTTGCGTCCGTTCATGGTATTCTTAGCATCCTTCTGTAACGCCGTGTTTCTTCGTCATGTTTAAGCAGTTTTAAAAAAATATCTTTACTTCTGATCTTTCTCCCCGGCAACACGTATTAACGGGATAAAGTCAGTACGCCCTGACGACCAAGAAAAGTCGATGGGACTGAGCAGTTTTACTAGTTTCTACACACGTGTCTCTGTGGTACTCCACATCAAACCAGCTTTATATATTTGTCCTCGTGAGAGAAGCAAATAAATGTTTTCCAAAGAAATTAGAATATCTGTTTTTTTTTTTTTTTTCTTTTAAATAAATGTCAAGCCCAAGAGCTACACAAGGTAGAGTGTTAATGAATGAGCTACACAAGGTAGAGGGATAATGAATGAATTTGTAGTATGGACGTTAGAGGAAGAAGTGAGTGCACATCATGAGTATATGTAGAATAGATAACTGTTGACCCTAGACTTCAATAATTTAAGATTTTAGTGATAGAGGAAGCATCTTCACGTGAGTCATTTCTATAAAGTAGCAATTCTTAGGAAGAAGCTCTTCAAATGGAACTTCCTTCTTTACCAATGGTATACGAAGGAAATGAGGATGATTCGACCTTGTGTATGCGCCATAGCGTATCCTAGATGTAAAGGTTTGAACTGGTGAAACTAGGGAATATAGCGCGTTTACTCCAGAATTACTGATGTATAGAGATACGCTTGCAACGTTTCGTCTGTGGGAAAGAGGATGTAAGGTTGAAAATAACTCATCATCAACGAGGATGTATAAACGCATTTTGAACTCTGTCATGTTTGGATAGTAAGGATTGGGTGGCCCAGTCCAGATATGGCTGCAATATTCTATTTTCGGTTTGATCTAAGTCGTGTAAAGATAAGAAAAGCAGATATAGGCAGGAACTTTCTGGAGCAGCACAAAGAACCGACCGTTTTTCCAACATACTCCACAGACGAAACATTGCAAGTGTATCTCTACTACATCGCTATTTCCGGGATAAAAGTTTAGACGATAATTATCCGTTACACCATCGTACATCCAAACTTACAGCAGCTGGTATTTTCAAACGCTCACCCATCTAGCTACTGGACCAGATCGATGTTGCTTAACTTCGATAATCGTAAATGAAAAGGTATTTTAATGTGATGTGTGTGTAAGTAGTTTCGGTTTTAAATAACCCAGAATGTGTTGAGAAGCCGTAAAAAATGCTATCAATTATCCAAGACTCTGTTCTGCTAACTATTTACAATTTCCCTCTGTCCATCTTGCCTTTGATATGTCCTGTTAGTGTCAAATTTTCCAAGCCCTCTTTCTATATTATGAATCCCATAATTTTCTACTCGTTCCAATAATAACTAAAAGTCGTTTTTGTTCTCAATTTCCTTAAACCTTTCTCGTTGTTCGACTTTCCTCTTCATAGTATTCCCAGAATCCTTCTATAGAACCATATCTTTGCCTCAGTTCTCCTCTATAGGGGAGCTCTGCTACATATTTGGGTCTGTTTGGCAACTTATATTCTTGTTTATTTTTCACAAATGCTTCAATTTGAAGTCTGAGACCAGATAAAAACAAGAATTTTGAAATATGAATTTCGGTAGGTTTTCACCATTTAAAGATTTTCGTAAAACAACTTTCTCTACTGCGTTTAGTTTTTGAAGCTAAATAAGATTAACTTAATAAATATTAACTCACAATTGAAGTCCTTAGAAACAGTGTTGTCTTCAAATCCTGTCTTTAGAAAGTACGCTTTTATATAGAAAAAAGCTCGTAAGTATACGTCTCTATTTAGGTCTTCATAGTTGGATAGAGAGGATTGGAAATAACTAATAATCCACAAGGACGTATAAATGCTTTTGAACTCTGTCATTGTTGGATAGTGAGGACTGGGTAGCCCCAATCCAGATATGGCTGCAATATAGAATATTGCCATATCTGCAGTAAAGGTGAAACTAAGGAATATAGCTCGTCTGTGCATTTATCCCGGAAATAGCGATGTAGTAGAGATACGCTTTCAACGTTTCGTCTGTGGCTTAGAGGACTTAGGGTTTAAAATAACTTATCATCCACAAGGATAGTGAGGATTGGGTAGCCCCAGTGCAGATATTTTTCACCCATTAAAGATATTTTTCCAGATATCTAAGCAACACTTAGTAAATCGCTGAGCGATTCGATGTGGTGTCATGGTTAGTAACCTTGTCTCGCTAGATCAATTACGACTGTGTAGTAAGATCGACCTTCAGAGGGTGATCCATGTTTTCGGCCTTGTGCCACATCTATGTTTCGCTTAGTTAATCATGATATACATGGTGGTCTGAAAGTCATGTCACCCCTATACAATATAATTTTCTATTTCAGGTGGCTGACACGAGCTACTACACTTTGGAAATACAATATTACATATTTTTATACAAACTATTCCTAAATAAAAATAATCTGAACATAGACAAGACAGCATCTGCTTATAGTAAAATCCGAGTCACGCTATTTCTTAGATACAATTGCTTCACAATGTCATGCCAGAGAATTTTTATCGTCAGAATCCATCTTGCATATTTATGAATATTCAACTCGTCCGTGCATTGAACATTGCTGTCGTATCTGCTTTAAGCGTTGTATTTTAGAAGTGATGGATTCAGTTTTGCACAGTTTCGAGATAATCTAAATCAATGATTTCCAATTTTCTCTAGCTGATTCGCCCTTGACTCACAGACCATATTGTTAACGGCCCAATTCCCAGGGCCTTATGAAGACACTTATTCGTATTAGTTTTAATGCAAATTCCAAACAATAACTCAGCTAACACTGTATGTAGACATTTCTTAGATACCATTAGATGTCTCCAAACGAACATCCGTGGCTATATCACTACACCTAAAAAGCTACAGCAATGGCTCCTGTAGATATCTGTTGTCTTATCTGGCTAGCGTGTGGCATATCTTGTCCAGATAATGTCAACAAGTTAGAAACAAACCTTAGGACGTTTAACTTTGGAAAACAAAATAAAATAAAACCATGCGTTAGTGTACAACTTTCATGTTAATTTTATTCCTTGTCGGGTATAGAGTGGTCCGACAGTCTCTCTACCTTTCTTCCAAACTGTAGGAGCTCGTGTCAGCCATCTGAAAAAGAAAAATATATTGTATAGGGGTGACAGGACATTCAGACCATCATGTATATCATGATTAACTGAGTGAAACATAGATGTGGCACAAGGCCGAAAGTATGGGGCGTCCAGTGACGATCGAACTCACTATTCAGTCGTAATTTATCTAGCAAGACAACTTGCTAACCATGACATCGAATACCCGAGCAAAATTATAAATGGTGATTTTTTAAGCATAGCTTAAATATGGCGCAAGGCCGAAAATATGGGGCATCTAGTGAGGATCGAACTCACTATTCAGTTGTAAATGATCTAGAGAGACAAACTTACTAGCTATTACACCGCCTGAAAGTGTCCCGCCAAAACTATAAATGCATGTACCAATATTAATTTGGGGTACAGAGCAACCTCGCTGCTCGGCCATAATTTGTTCTGAAAGGCTGTTCTAAACCGAATTGTTCGAGAGCCGAAACATTTTTTTTTTTTTTACCTAAAGGCTAATGAAGAGAAAAAAGGTACAGTACAATAAAATTGGAAAAGGAAAACACAGCACATCACACGAATGTATGCAACACGGCAGTCGACTCAGAAATGATTTCGTTCGGGTTAATTCGGATCGGCTCGGTTCGGCTCGGATCGGCTCGGTTCGGCTCAGTTCGGCAATGTTGCTCGAGAACCGAAATTTGGTTCAATAAGAGAGGCATTTTGATTTCCAATTTTCTGTTCGACATGTGAGACGTTCGAGGGCCGAGGTTGTTCTGTATTTGTTTCTTTCCGGTTTTCAACATTACAGATTTTTTTAGTTCTTTCTTCTGAAGTTTATTCCTAATATAAAACGTATTATTAAAAAACAAGGCTAAATTATGAATAAATATGTTTAATATATTTATAATGCGTCTTAATATGACATTGAGTGACAGCGATCAAAAGAATCGTATTGAAAACATGAGATACGTATACATCAGCCATTCATCTATGTGTCGCGTCCCTTCTGGACGTGGACGATCATTAGCCCGTCACAACTTTGTCTCCGTCGTAGCTCTTTGTAATGTACTATTGTACTATCCCTGCCACACCGCTATCTGCCACCCACTATTTATATATGTTTACCTGGTGAAAATTCATATTAATTCATTAATCTCAATATCAGAATTACACACCTGTGTATTCGCTGATACGAAGAACGATTGATATTTCTATTCAGGCGAATACTTCGAATAAATTTTCGATATCTGGAACTTGTGATCAGATAAGAATTTGCATGAAGTCAAAGAAGGAACAAACCAAAAAACAAATACGGAAAATACACGTAGGATAATTCACGGACTAGATGGCCATTTTGCTGCGTGGCATTTGCAATAGGAGGATCGATGTTTTCATTGGTCGACTTCCATAATTAGAAAAAAAATGTCTTTTTTAGTTCAAACTATCATTCAAATTTGTCCTTTCATACATCCCACGTACATTCAGAAGCATACGACGAGCGTGACATGTTTGAGATGGTACACACAGGCTTCCTCAACACAAGATTATTTCACATCCTAGAACACAGAAGATATCTGATGAACGTTGAAGGGTACCATAGCATTGAACTCAGTTCGAACCAACTAGATAAAATAGTCATGTAATTATCACTAACTGAATATGCGAAAAAACAAGGCTGCCTTTAATATCTTGCCTCCAAAGATGAAACAAAAAAAAATTATTACTAATTCAAAAGCGTTTTAGAATACGGGTTTTAAGATGTCGATGCAATATTACTTCCAGTCTGGTTATCATCTTTCAAATTTAATAGCAACCCAAGCTGAATTACAATGTGAATATCGTCCCTTCTGGCAATAAAACCACGGTACTTGCGTTTCTCAGATCCTATTTATTAGTATTCCATGTTATATTGCATGAGCATCTTTTTTAATTGAAATATCTTCATGCCGCTATTCCTTGCCTTCTTCCTCCATTTCATTTTTGCCTATCATTTCATATCTTTAATGAACTCTGACCTATAAGAATTCTATAACACTATAGTAGATAGCGGATCAGAATGAGAAGTCGGAGATCCGAGTTCGAGTTCCAGTCGAATTCGTTACAAACACTTACGCTGCAAATGCTCCTGAGAAAGGTATGAGTCCATCTATGGGTTAAATAATACTTGTATCCGAAATAATCATTGATATTCATTAAAAAGTTGTTGATGACATATTTAATTGAAAACAGAATGAATTATTCTTACAGTCCAAAATATGTTTCGGGTTTAAATTACCACAAAGAAATTGATAAACCGTAAAAAAAACAAATCAGTCAATCATTAATTCCGTAACTTTTGCTTAAGGTAGTGTGGAAAGTTAACTATTTTAGTTGTCGATGCTGTTGGAAATCTTCAAGTGATGTAGTCTCTGTTAATTATTAAATTTCTTTATCATTCTGTACCACCAGTCTCCGAGATCCGACGAAGGAAAATCCTTTTCAAAACCAATTGATTTCATTCGCATGAGACCATGTTTAATCATTGATTGATTTTTAACTACAAGGTGTTGATAAGTCGTAAAAAACAAATAAACTCAAATCGCCCAGTGCGCAAAAATGGATAAAAGAATGTGATATCTCTATCTATAAAAGGCAGGATGTGTGTGTATAACGAATGCATGGCCGCAATTTTCGACGGATTTGCACCAAAATTTACATGCACATGCTCCAAGTTAGCGGGAAGGCCAAGACCGACTTTGAATTTCCCAACTCCCATCGATAGTGGAAATAATCATGCTTCTACGGCAGTTTTCATGTAGTTTGCTGCCATTTTGTACTGGCCAATAGCTGGCTGCCACGAATAGGCAGGAAGATTCCATTCTCCAGCGTACGAGCCAACAGCTGACTGACACGAATGTTAACTAGCATGCTACCATGCAAAAAAATCGATCAATTTTTCGACTGCTGTCAAAATTAAATTTTAAATCCCGAATTCGGACACGAACACAGTCTATACACCGGGGATGAATACGACTAACGTACTTCTCATTGATCGAAATAGATGTATACATCTTCCCGCCATATGAGGTAATTTTGTATTTTGTTGTGTAATTTATTTGCTCTTTTATAATAAATACATTGAATCTTTGTGTGGATCAGTTTTAATATTCGATATTACTAGGATCCACTTGAATAATAAACTAACAGATTTACTATTTATTGTAATATATATATATATATATATATATATATATATATATATATATATAATATATATAAACTTAACCTGATTTTGTAACATATATTTGATACAGAAATTGTCTAGGGAAATTAAACCCCAACCACCCCTAATTAAAATAGACTGAATTTTCCTTAACTTTAACAACTCAAAATATTAAGATCATCTGCGCTTATAAATTAAGTAAATTTCTTAGAAAGTTATTCCTAGCATCGCTTGACAATGGAACGAAACACAGGATTTTATGTTTAATTTCTATAGTTTTGTAACATAGAAATTTCTGTGTCGCGATGGAATCATATTTTTAAAAAAGAAAATAATTATAATATTTTGCTGTACTGTTTGTATCGAGCACTGTTTCTTAAAAATTAAAATAATTGCTAAGAACACCGGATTATATATCTTACTGTTCTTTTTATTATTATATATATATATATATATATATATATATATATATATATATATATATATATATAAAAGAAAGTAATGGATTTTTTTTCATTCAATATTATTTCTTATTTAAAAATTATATTTTAGTGGATAGACGTGTTTGAGTAGATGCCTTGTTTTTTTGCTTATTGCTTTTTGTTAAATAATGTGAATTATGTCTACCGTCATGGGCATCCGATGATTTAATAAAGATTTAGAGGAAACTGATTGGACATGATTTAACCACCTTGGCCATAGATTTTGTTTATAATAGTCTATTATACTTTGATAGGTAGAGTCAATTCAGTTTCTTTGCCCAAGAGATGTCATAAGAAAAACTCATCATTAACAATTCATTTTCACTTTAGAATTCCCGATAGTTAAGATTCTGCAAAGGTTGTCTTTATTGGCAGTAAAAGCTAGACATTATGCCCAAAAATTTATTATGCGGTATAATTAAGTTATCATTAATATTTTATTTTCACTTCATTATATAGTAATTATTATTATTATTATTATTATTATTATTACTTAAATTATCTTCGCAAATATAAACACAATTTATAATTGTTGTTATATTTGTGAAAATAATTTAAAAAGATATGTAAGATAATATTTTCAAGTATTTATAATCAAATATGAGTCATAATATAAATATAAGAAATTCAGTTATTCAGGCAAGTTTTTGTGAATTTAATTTTACTAATTAGAAAAATGGCTGCTGTCATTTATTATGTTTTGATATAGTATATTTCATATCCTACAGACAACATATTTAAGCTAAGTAAATATATAATTATGTCGGTTGTGTGAAGGAAATATTTGTTTATTTCGTGTCAAGATATTGGTCAGTGCTCGAACCTCGGTAAAAAATGCCAGCATTTTGAAGATTAACTAAGAAAACTTTCCTACATATTGACGCAATACAATCTTCCTACCGTCTTTTGTTTTCGTATGTACAATACAAAAATCATAAGCATCAAAAGGCTACAATTGTGATTCATTTTTTGTTTCGACTGTTGTACGTTCCCGTTACTATTCTTGACTCTGATTCCATCTTTAAATGCATTTATCCGTGTGTTTATTCAAAGTCAAGATACCTCCTCACGATGAAAAGGAAAACATCATGTGACTCGATTCCTGGACTGTTTCTTGTTTGTATTACTTATATTGAAAACGGACACTTTTGCCTTGCGTGCATCGCTCACGACAGAGCGTCTCCTTGGCTTTTGTCATAAAATATCGTATGAAGACGACCCTGGCGTTTATTATCTCAGTCGGTCAAGATGTGGAAGTTTCCCAAAGTTGGTTGGAAGACGTAAAGTTTGAAACATAGACAGCAAAACTGCGGAACTAAAGGAAGGGAAGTAGAAAAGGAGAAACAAATGGAAAAAAAAACAGAAAGAAATTGGAGAGAAAGAATTGGAAGCTGTTTAATCGAAATGAAAGATGGAAAGAGACAACGGAAAGGGATAAGAAAGAAAGAAAGAAAGAAAGAAAGAAAAAGAAAGAAAGAAAGAAAGAAAGAAAGAAAGAAAGAAAGATGATGATGAGGGAATAAATCTTGAAAGAAAGTGAAAACTATAAGAAAGAAAAAAGAAAGTAAGAAGGAAAGAAACTAAGGCTGGTGGGGAAATAAATCTTGAATGAAAGAAAGAAATAAATAAACAAAGAAGCAAAGAAAGAAGGAAAGAAAAATGCTGATGTGGGAATAAATCTTGAAAGAATGTGAAAACTATAAGAAAGAAAGAAAAAAGAAAGTAAGAATGAAAGAAACTAAAGTTGATGGTGACATAAATCTTGAAAGAAAGAAAGAAAGAAAGAAAGAAAGAAAGGAATTAAGAACAGAAGGGAGAAAGAAAGAAAGAAAGAAAGAAAGAAAGAAAGAAAGAAAGAAAGAAAGAAAGAAAGAAATATAAACAAAAAGTAATTAAAAATGTTAGATGAAAGCAGAAGAAAAAGCTGGAGAGAAAGAAATATAAAGCAAAGAACCAACGAAAATAAAATAAAAAACGCAAAAAAAAAAACGAAAAGAAAAGAGAAATAAGGAATTTAATTTCGCTTTCTATTTATTTAAAAGGGAGACATACACGTAAAATGGGAACGAGGAAGGAAAAAAAAAGAAAATAAAACAAGAGAAAGAATGAAAACCGGAAGAAAAGAAAAAAGAACGCAAGAACGTTACAAGCAAGATAAATAGGTCCGGAGAAAATGGCTGGAATGAAGAATCATATGATGGCGCCGATGGTCGATACGGAAAGAAAAATCGATCCGCTGACTCCGATTTACTGCATTAACGAAGAAACTGGCCTATTCGACTGGGCCAACTTCTGTCAGTGTTGTATCTATACTTCTGATCCGCTCCCTGGCGTCTACAGAACGATCGGAAGCCTGTACTTATTTTTATGTAATTAATATGACTCTTTTTATTGTTAGCAAAGTGGTGAAATCTGTAACGGAATAGCACAGATGTCAGTGTAGATCACTGAACAATGACATCATGATTATACACAGGGAAAAGAGCAGACCTAGATATATATGTACAGACATAAAAAAAACTAGAGATATATAAGAAAGATATTAATACAAGATAAAACTCTAAATGTTTGGAAGCCAAGAAATCTTTCAATGTAGTTTCTGCATCCTCTTTGCAACAGAACGTCTCAAAAAATTGTCAAAATGCTTGAAAAAGTGGTACTTAGTGGCCCGGAGATCAGGGAGAATATGGTGAGTGTGCAAAAGTCTTGTATCTCAATTCGGTGAGATTCTGTAGTGTTGTCATGGCAACATGTGGTCGAGCATAGTCATGAAGTTGAATTGGGTCTCGTCGATTAACCAGCGCCGCTTTCATTTTGCTTAACTCAATGTCCATATCACCCAGTTGTTGGTAGTAAACGTTGGCGGTGATTCTCTGGTGTGGTCCCAGAAAGCTGTAAATGTTAACGCCAATGGCTGAGCACCAATCGGTCACCATAATCTTCTAGTGGAGCAATTTCGGTTTGAGAAAGTGTTTGGCTGTTTCCTCCTTACCAATCCATTGAGCCGATCGCTTACGATTGTCATAAGATATCCGTTTCTCATCACAAGTCAATATTAGATCAAGAAATGGATCATTCGAATTTCGCATCTGCAGCATCGAAAATACTTCCAAACTTTTAACTTTCGCAGACTTTGTGTGGAACCTATTTATCGAGTTTCTTCACCGTGCCAATTTTTTGAGATGGTCTGATATTGTTCAAATGCTGAAACCTTTTATCTGAGAGAATCTCCTAACACTTTAATGCGAGTTTTTGTTCAAATGCAATGTTTCAGATATCTACCACCTTGATCTTCAAGTCTCATATCCCTACTGCGGAACTTCAGGAACCAGCGCCGTATTGTCCTATCACATATGGATCCTTGATTCTATGATCTTATTACTGGCAGCAGTTTCAGAAGCATTATGTCAAATAGTGAAATCTGTAACGGAATAGCGTAGATCACGGTAGAAAATTGGCATCCTGATTATACACTAGGAAACAAGCAAACCTAGATAGTTATGTACATACGTGGATAAATCACGGTCACAAGTCCTGTAATTCATTAGCGCCTTAGCGGGCCTACATATACTGCAGTCGCAGTTGAAGTGACGTGACTAGTGCAATTAGCCTGACGGAGCGCAACCCTCTCCAGGCTGATTAGAATTCAGAGTTTTCCTGCCGCCAAAGGTTATAGAACCCAGTCTCTTCTAGGATTTACCCATAGCAGTAGAAGAAGAGATGGATTCATATATTTCACAAAGATATTAGCATGTAAATGAATATAATGAACTCGACTAGAATTCGAACTCGGCTCTCCGATTCCTCAATCCGAGCCGAAATCCATAATTCCAAAATTTCTCCATAAATACACATATACAAAGAAAACTGTATAGGACCATATTAATACGAGAAAATTTCAGATTTTTAAACTACATGTGTAGCACGAGTATATACGTATTATTTAACTTCAGGCCCTTAAGGGACACCTGTGAACCTATGATCAGAACGCCTACATAGAAGGGGGGCGTCTGTGATTTTATCTGTGTCTGAATTGTCTGTGAGATGGGGTTTTTAAAGCTGCCATCCACTTGACCAAAAACTAATAAACTAAGGGATAAATAAGTAAAAACGCTTGCGGTTAAGTGATAACAAATTAAATACTGAGGTTGCAGGTCTATATTAAGGGTGATATTTGAGTAGTATTCTGGAAAACTCATTCACGGGACATACTGGCCCTCGGAGCAGTTTCGATGCCGCCCATTAGAGTTGCCAGCCGCGCGTCGTGATAGTGTAACGAACAAAGAATGGTGAGAGGAAGGGTGGAGAATACAGAAGTGATAGAGGTTTTTCCATATGTCACCTACTTATCCACCCACGCAGTGCAAGAGAATCCTTGAATTAAACAACTAAATATATTGCAAACAAGGTTCGAGTTCTCGCTTCTCGTTGTATCGTTTTCTTCAAATTTTGTTTCCGAGGTTTTGTTGCATACCGGCACGAACGAAGATAGAGTTGCAACGCGGGGTTCCATGTGTCTGGTCGGTGAGTAGCTGGATGGGGATCCCATTGCATGTTTACACGCCTCCCTTGAATATTACCATTCAAATGTTTGATTTTAACATTTATAACAATTGCTTATAGTAAATTAGACGTAATTAGACGTATCCGTCAATAAAAACAATGAAAATTGCAATATGAGCTCTAGTAAAAAAAAAAAAAAAACTGCAATGATAACAGCAAAAATTGCAATATGAGCACTGGTAAAATAGGTTGCTGATGAAAATTAGGTTTATAATACCTTGAAATTCACACACAGATGTCCTCAACGACACATAGCACAGTGGATAAAGGCGTTAGTTATATCCAGTGACAGGACCCAGTGTGTGAGTTCAATACTTGGTTAAGGCGGTGGAGAACTTGGAGAGGGGAATTAACAGGAGATAACTGATAACTGACATACGTTATATATGGCACGTGGAACTAGAACAGTCTACCCTAGCGAGCGAAATAAAGAGTTCAGTTCGATATGGAGAAGGCCGGAGCGTACAACTATGATAAATATGGCAACAAAGATGAGGACAATTGTCCGAATCATGTAAATAGAGTAATTAGACGTAAACATAAGAGGAACGCATTTGAATTACCTGGCTAATTTAATACGAATTTAAATGCACTTACATGTATACGCTTATCAACACAGAATGAATGCATCCGTGTGTGTGCTAATCATATGAACAGATAGGAAACACTAAACATGTTGGAAACATTTAGCGTTTAGTTTCATTAGTTCTTTACTTTTTCTTCTTCCTTTATCTGATAATTTTAATTACTTTTTACTTACATTTTCGACTTTCTCTCAACGTTTATTCCTCCGTCAACATTAGTTTCTTTCTTTTCATTGACAATTTTAATTACGTTTTTACTTATATTTTCTTTCTTCTTTTTCTCGAAGTTTCGACTTTCTTTCAAGATGTATTCCTTCATCAGCACTACTTTCTTTCTTTGATCTGACAATTTTAATTATATTTTCTTTCTTTCTCGCAGTTTTTACTTTCTTTCGGGATTTATTCCTTGTTTCTTTCTTTTATATCGTCAATTCCTTTTCTGGTCGTTACCTCTCTCCCCGTCTTTCATTTCGATTAAAAAGCTTCCAACTTAATATTTTTTACATGCATCTGGGTATATAGGGTAGCTAATTCTGCCCAGTTTCCTTATGTTTCTATTTTAGCACATTTACTATCCTACATAGAAGATCTGCCAAGAAAGTGAACCTGAAAGCAATTTTACTGTGGGTGATCTAGCGATCAAAGCATTTTCTATACTCTTTCGTTTTAGTAAATTGCGTTCTCGTCTAATTAAAGCATCATTTTTTTAAATCTAAACTATAGTCAGACACTTTACTGTGAGCAACTAATGCACTGAGTGTGTTGTTTTGTAAAAGATCCCTTTTGTGTTTATATAACCTTGTATTTAAATTTCCCGATGTTTCTCCTGTATATTTTCTGTGGCAATCATTACAAATGATAGAATAAAGTCCCCCACTTCAAGTTCCAGATTAATATTATTTTGTTTTGTATTACTTAAGTTTCTTGTTATCTTAGAAGACGTTATAACAAGTTTTATGTTAAGCTAAGATAACTTATTTCAATTGAATTTGTGAGAGTCGATAGGTGGAATAATATATCATTATTCGTTGGATTTGTCTGGATGGCCCATTCTTCCATTTTGAATTATTTGACTTCGTTTAGGTTCTTATATTCTCCCCCACTCTTACATATAAAATTCCATCAGCAAAAACTTCACTCCAGTATATATTTTAAATGACAAAATCCGCACAGAACTTTTTACTTTGTCATTAATTTGGCTAATATATATATATATATATATATATATATATATATATATATATATATATACATAAACGAGATATTCGCCCTCGGGAATTTAAACAATGCTATAGTTGTACACACAACTAAAGCAGATCATAATTTCGATTTTGATTCCGTGAAGATTTTAAAATATTTTCATAATAAAAATCTTAGGCGGATTTATGAAGCAGGCATAATATCTATCTCACGCACGGTGAATACTAGACCTGGCTTCTTTAGTATTTCCCCTTTTCTAGCGAGATTAATGCTCGACAAGCGTACATATAAATTTTAGTTCAAAATAGAATTCTTTTCATTTTTCATTCAAAATACTCAAATTTTAGGAATACGTTTTCACAGCGTCGCCCACGTGACGACAACGTGACCATGTTTTAAACGGGGCGCTGATCTTATAAAACTTTCAGTTATCTGTTTGGATAAGTCTTGTTCTTATGTACATCGTCTTTGTCATGTTGTATTGATAATGTTATAATTTATGAATATGTCCTGAAGATGGTTTATTAGACCGAAACGTTCGACGTTGACATATTAACATTAAAACAGCATAATTGTATATAAGGATTTTGTTTGTTTTTCCGTATATATTTTTCTTCATATATATATATATATATATATATATATATATATATATATATTATTTATTTAAAATTATAACATGAATATGTTATAAAAATCTCTAAAAAATAGCCATTTTGTTTCAACACCTCCAGTGTCTTATCAAGTGTGGATGTGTTGAAACAAAATGGCTATTTTTGTAGTGATTTTATAACTTATTTATGTTATAATTTTTAAATAAATATTTATATCTGTTCTACTATGTATTGAGCACTCTTTTAAGAATAGTAATTGTTGGTTATTGGAATCCATTCCGTATACATCAATCCTATACTTATATATATATATATATATATATATATATATATATCGTCCTTCAAATAGGTTTCGTTGAATAATATCGATATATTGTGTCGACTTATTTTTATACTAATCATTTCCATTTGTCTAATCAGATTCTTGATGTTGAGAGGAAATCCATCATAGTTTTTAACCCAAGTACTTAAGTATAAAAATAAGTAGACACAATATGCCTATATTATTCAACGAAGCACACACACACATATATATATATATATATATATATATATATATATATATATGCACGTTCACTTTCCGACCATGAGACCTGGATGTGGATTTCACCATGGTCGATTTGTCAAGAAAGTGACTATTTGATGTTATCGGCCTAGGGAGGCCATGCAAGCATGCGGAATCTTTGAAAAGTACCTGAAAACCGCGAATAAAATTGAGTCAGCGGAATTATTTGAGAAGCGTCGATGGTTGTGCTAGCACGAAGTCACAAGTCATCGTGACCGAGTGTTTGAGCCTACTGGTCTTGTTCACGCCAGATAATGCACCATCTTCTCGAAACTGCGACTAAGCACAGTTGCTGTATAAACCACTTATGGGGTCTATAGGTACTGAACAAAAGCAAATGTGCCTGAGCGAGCATCTACAACAGGGGAGGGCTAGCCGCTCTAATAGAAAGACATACTCAGATACGAAGGTGGACAATATGGATAAAGACAAAAACTTATCTTAGTTGACGCTTTTTGTCCTTTGAGCATAATGAGACGCCATATTTTAATATTTGAATAACATAAACTTTTATTATATTCCTGTATAATATACTATCTATGAATATATACCTACGTATGATACGCTCTTTATGAATAAAAACTATCACAAACTCAGCGAAAGTATCAAAACGCACTAAATTCAATACCTATAATTATACAATTTTTACAAACCACTGTAACAAAAAGCGCAACAGACAAAATACATAAATACAGAACTAGCACAGATACAATAAAATAAAATATAAAATAACGAAAAGCAAGAGACGCAAAATTCGTGAGTATACAACTATGAACAGACATCAGATTCAGAAAAGCTGTTTGGCGTATGAATAGACTTCTTTCACAAAACAGGAATATCACAAGGTTACAAAATCGACAAGACACGATATTCTTGAATATACAACACAGACCAAGGAAAAGGTGAAAGTAACGAAAGACAATATTCCTGAATAGTGCAACGATCACAAACTGAACAAAATCACAATGCAACAGGAAAGCGCTATATATTAAACCGATTAACGCAGAATTAATACAAAATAGGAAAAGTCGAAAATTAACGAAAGCCGCTTGGCTCAATATTCCTGAATCTATGACACGTCCATTGGAAAATCACGAAGTATTAACGGTCACTAAGCTCAATATTCGAGAATCTATAAAAGAGACAAAGGAAAATGACGAAAGATCAAAATTCAATTTCGGAACAAGTATATCCCCAGTAAATGATGATCAGATGAAGGCTTCTGAAGGTCATTCTCGACTGGGTTGTGGTTGGGGAAATTTGTAATTTAGTTTCAGTGACTTTAATAGCAATATGAAACGGGCAGTTATTTCTTACGTTGATTTTATAGTTTTGGCAATTTTATTGCATTCTGTTTTCATGAAAACGTCCAAAGCTATATTAAAACTGAATATAAACTTTATGGATGTAATTGACGGTTTCTATGACATACCAACCGTTATTGGTTTATTTAATATTAAAATCAGTTATTTATTATACTTGATAGGTAAACAGTGATTGTTTTGATATATGTGTCTATAGCTAAATACTGGTTGGGTTTATACTTGACCTTATAATCCAAAATGGGTCATATTTATACTAAAGTACATAGATAAACATGTAATATGCTTATATTTGAATCCATAGATAAACATTGGCTGTTTTATACCTGAGGTTATAGTTAAATATTAGCCTTTTTTATACTTAAGACTATAGGTAAACAGTGGTCATGGTTATACTTGATTCTATAGCTAAAAATTGGTTGTATTTATACTTGAGCCTATAGGTAAGCATTAGTTGTGCATAAACTTGCGTTCAGAGCATTTTATCCGATAGGTAGCTTTGCCATCTGCAAGATTTGCAGTCAGTGTATTGTAAGTTCCACCAATAGGACTGTCCAATATGTTTTAGTCTCCATAATATTGATAAATTTTAGAAATAAATTCTGTCTAGAAAAATTTAAATTGATGGAAATACGTCGCGTTTACTAAGGCCTTTCAACTAAGTTACTGTCTCCTGAAAATATACAAATTCCGTTGAGTGTGTTCG